GGTTTTTCTTAGATATTAAGAGACAGATTCTTCCTTCTTTAGAGCTCTTGAAGAGCAAAATTGAAGTTATAATTAGTAAATTTTGGATATGGAGTCCAAGATTTTATATAAACCATTCTAAACTTGTAAAAAAGTATTCAATCCAATGACATATTGAACAACATATTTCATGAATGAAGTCTGATTTGTCAGCTTCTTGATGTTGATCAAAGAGAAGCGTTATTGAGTTGGTAGCATTTTGTTGTTAATTATGGAGGCGTGTCTTCGAATTAGATTCAGCATGATATATTAGCTTCTCGATATCATGCAAATTAGGCCTCAAGTTAGGTTATCAAATTAGTGACCCTGCAACTATGAATTTGTGGGTTGATGGGGGGCATTATTATACTCACATGAAGAGCTAAATTATATTTGTATATAATGAATATTAGAGGACACCCTTTGATGATGTAGCATTTTACGTTATTTCCCATGTTGGGCATTTGGTGTACTTAAATGTGGATGTACATATATAACTTTTAGTGGTAGCATTTGCCCTCTTAAAGAACATTGCTCTCTACTTAAAAAAAAGTTAATTTTTTTTAATAGGTATTACAACAAGCTTAAAGCTTATTTAATATAAATATCCTATTAACTTAAGGTAAAAATAGTTAATAAATTAATTCAAATTCCACTAGAATACTTTCTTATGATGACACAGACTAATATAATACAATATTTATGTAGATAAAAACGACCGTGTTCCGCTTGTCACTTCATATGACTGCCATTAAACCGTCACTGAAGCTCAAACTTGTTTTTTTTTTTTTTCGGATTTGCTTTGTTTGGCTTCCTTTTTTTTTAATAATTTGCAATACCCTACTAATCTTGTTCACTGAATATATATTTATATATATATATACACTATATAGCATGAAGAATAAAACAATCCTATCACGAGTCACTATTGCATGTTTTCACCACCTAATCACGGCTCTCGTGCGGGCAATGCCTGCTCCTGCCACCCATTCACTTTCACCATGCCTCATATCTTTCAGATTCATAATTACCCAGATCAAAAAAAGATGAAATCATTATTGGTCCTTTCTCCACCCAGTTCGGATATCTAAACACTTGTAATTATATACAACTCTGCAACTGATGTAAAGGGTAGGAAGAATGAAAGATCGTGGTTGGTCTTAATTGTAATGATTATGAATAGATATCTCTATACGTGATGTTTCATGCAAGGCACAGTTTTTATTTATTTGTGTAAGTAGGTGACGTAGCTTAATTAATTTATTTTTCTTTTTCGTTTTTCTTTTTATTGGCAGATGGAGCTTGATCTATCTAAATCGCTTAGTCAAATCGATGCAAGTGTAGTTATGTGCATATAATAAATGATGGAGCATATATGTTTGCACTGTTTTCACCATTGTACACGAAACAGATCTGCACCACTCAACCAAAACTTGACCCTTGCCATGCCTGCTGCTCCTATTTATACATGTATTTATCATCATCATACATGATCTACTTATAATCTATACTTGTGTATGTTGATTTAGTATTTTGTAAAGGGTGATTCTGATTATATATATTTAGAAGACGGTACATACTGATATTTCTTTCTTAAGGCCAAAGGAGTTGAAAAGGAAAGAACCTGTAAGCACAGAAATGTAAGTACCTTTCCGTTTCAGGACAGTGGTTCTGATTCGTGGAATCAAGATTTGGTTTAAAGATGGCCACATCATAATGATGAAATACGCTGTACTACTTACTTTTAGGACTTCTCATGGTTAGGCCAAACCCTAAGAAAATGTTGCTCAAAGTAATTTGGTGTATACCTTCTATTATATATAAATATATATATATACACACATACCAAGTAAAATTTATCAATATAAATTTATGCGTATATATATTTATATAAAAGTGGGGGTAAAACCCAATCCAGTCCAAGTCGTCAACTTTTAAAAGAAAAATTCTTTACTCTTGAGTTAGATGTTTTAATTTATGCATATATTGACTGAATCTTTCAAATGAAATTAACTATATGAAAGCAATAATACTAGTGTTGGGATGTTCTACCTTTAATGAGATTATTAATTAATTAAATGCAATAAATTAATTACATCAATTTATTAATATATGAGTGTATAAATAATGTATGATATTTTTCTTTGCATCTCTGTTCAAGAGAACTAAATTTTTTTTTTTTTTTTTTTTACATTTGGGAAAAAAAAATCAAACTCAAGTGATTAATTCTATAAGGAGAACATTATATTATTTAAAGTAAATATTTTTCTACAAAAATAATTTAATTTCTTATCTAATGTATAAATCTAAATGAACATGTATATAATATGATAAAAACTCACATCGATATATATATATATATAAGAATATACAAATAATATCTTATGTTTCTCTTTGAATCTTCATTTAATGGAATTAAAAAAAAAAACTTGGATGAAACGAGGGTTTGGTTAAGATTTGAACTCGAGTGGTTAATTTTATAAAAATAACAATTGATTATGTTATCTTTAACTATATAGTTTAATAATAAAAAAAAATTAAACTTCCATCTAATTTATAAATCTAAATTGATATGTGTAAAATATAATAAACACTTGGGGGGTGTATATCCAGCATCTCATGGAGACAATGTGCATGATTTGATGTTACAATTTCTTTCTGATTTTTGGTAATTGATTTGATGCTACATGAGTAAGTGAGTAAACAGGAAAGTACTCAAAAAGAGTATAGTCAACAGGGAGACTAGATGAAAAGCTTCATGAGTTTTTACCAACTTTGATCCGTAATTTATTAATGATTAATCAAGATTTACTGGTTAATAAATGGGTAATTGGGAAATGAGGAACTGTATTTTCTTACCACTAATTATAACATCATCGAGTTTACATATCTTGAAATTGATTTAATTTTATTTTAAGTTATAAAAGAACAAACAAATATCATATTTCTTACAGGTGCACTTACAAAAACTTTTGTTGCAGATCAATAGTTTTTTTTGTTTAGAAAATTTTAATATCATGCATACATATAATGATTATATATATTTCTAAGTATTTTTCAAATAACAAAAATGTCTATATCATAAGTGGAAGTGCCCAAGTCAATAGACCTCTTCTTTATTCTCTTGTGTTATATATATATATACTTTTTTGTTTGATTTTCTTTTCCATTTTCAGTAGCTCTATTATGTATGGGATATAGATAACATCTCACATGTATTAAGAGGAAAAATCATGTATTAAGAGGAAAAATCAGTCATACTGTCTATCTCAATATGAGCTTGAAAATATTCTTAGCAAAGGGTTCTGTAATTTTTAATGTATATATGTATATATACATATATATATATATATATGAAGGTGAATGGTGCTGAGTTGGTGATGCATTGCAGCTCTGTTATATATGCTCTCTAATAAATAAATTTCTTTTATGTGGTTTCTTTTGTTTATTTTTTAATATCGTATTTTTACGTGTATGTTAAAAGAGGTGAATAGAATCTTAAATAACAAGAAATATGTAAAAATAAATCTGATTATGTTTATTCATAATCTTTGATGGATGTGACAACATACAGTTCCATATATATACATAATATTTATTTTGATATTCTCGAACGACCTTATTTATAATGAGAATATATACAACTTTATTCTGATCTACTTCAATATAAAATAAATTTATAATTACGAAATCGACTTGATCATCATATTATAGATTTTAAGTTTATAATCTTATCTTATTCTTATTTTGGGTAGAACAAATTTGTTAATTTTTATTTTATTTTATTTAGTATATGTAAGAAAGATTTTAAATTAAAAAATAAATTTTAAAAACTAAATAGAAATTAAAAAAGGGTATTATAAGCAATCACAATAATTAGATTCATTGATGTTTTTGGTATAATAGATATAATCGCACATACAAATCATACTCAATTCCATAGAATTATTTGATTTTAAAAGTGATCTTTTATAATTTTACAAGTTAGAGGTTATTAATAATTTGATTATATTTATATACTAATAGTTTATACTAGTATTAGCCTAGATAAAATTTCATAGTATTTTTAGATAATAACTCATATTTAACAAGTCAAACTAACATTGTAAAAATTATATATATATTATCAATTAAACTAATTATAAATATGTCAATATTAAAAATTTTAAATTATATATAAATATGTTAACTAGCTTTAAGAGTATTTTTACTAGAAGAATACATAACATATCCGCGAATACGAACCAGTCAATTTACTGTGATTGGCTATTAAACGATAAGGATGAACTTGTATTATATTCTAGATTGCATCAAAGTCCTTTGTACTCAATCATGTTATCATCTTCAAGTGTATATACAGCATTTTAAGCTTGAACCCATATATATATATATATATATATACATTATATTATATTATATAGAACAACAATTTTCGGCCATGCTTGATCGGAAAAAAAAAAAAAAGGAAAGCTTCTGTAAGAGTAACAAGTCACATGCAGCAGTACTGGTATCTTCTTTGAGGTAAAGAAAGTTGGCAAGGTGACAGGTCGAGCAAAATTTCTCTAATGGAAGTTGAAAAAATTGATTGGTTTGCTTCGAAAATAAGCAAGTAAATCCTAAAAACAAGGCTGAATTTATGAGAAAATGATATCATCTTTGCTTTGAATATTATAACTTCCCAATTACCGCACAAAATGCCGTAAAATAGACATAACGCATATATAACCATTAAAAATAACTGCTAAGAATATTATTCTATTTATATATCCCTCTTTTATGTGTGTATATACGTGTATATATATAGCAGGTGAGAGAACATATATACACTAACATATATGAGAACTTTTATAGCAAGCATTAATAACTAATACATGTTTTTATAACAAGAAACAAGATAAATCAACGGTCCATATGACACTAGAGTTCGTCGTTATAATGATCATAATCTGGAAATAGCTTAAGCCCTAGTGTAAGTTGAAACCCTAGAGAGAGAGAGGGGGAGAAAGCAATAATATAATAGAATATATATATATATATATATGTAACCATTATAACTAGCCACGGCTTCTCTTCTCTTCTTTTCAACTTCTCCACCCATCTAAATCTGCATATAAGAAATTTTGCTTGTTAATCAATTGCTCTACTTGGTAAATAAAACATCCAGATAAGGAAGAAATTAAAGAAAGAAAATAATAATATTAACCATTAATGTGCTTAGTGGTTTGTGTAATGTATATAAATTCAGCTGCTGCTTAATTACTATATGGATAGATACAAGAAGAAGAAGCAGCTGTCTGCCATATATATTTTCTTGTAGATCCCCAAAAAAAGAAGCTTCTTCAACTTTAAAACAGCTTTCAATATTGCCCAATAAAATCAAAATTTTTCAGCAAAATCACTCGAATCAAGAAATTAGTTTGAACATCACCTCCATACATATACGTTTTTTTGAAGTAAAGATCAATTTTATTGGAACAAATTACCAAGCAAGTAGATATATAGATCATTAATATGTGTACATAGTATCCTTTCCTTTTCAAATTCAGATCAATATATATATATATATATATATATATATACACACACACTCAAAATCCTACAAAGAAAAAGAATATATATATATATATATGTATATAAGAGATTATTGTGAGGTCACCAGATAGTAAAATGCACCGTGCTGGAGTGGGTGGAGGGTGACACCCCATTCGTTGGTGGGAAGAGGTTGACCGGAGGAGTTAATCAGCACAGCATCTTCACCGAAAGCCTCTTTCACATTAAACGGCATCGTACCAACCTCGAAAGCCACATCGTTGATGAACACCGTTGATCTTCCCGCATCATGTTGACGATCTTGATGATCCACTCCCACGCTAAGAGATTCAACTACACCTGCCCACACTGGATCATTATCTACTTTTTTGCACAACTACTGGCTACTACGAACCATGCACACATGTTTTAAATGAACTTTACATAAAATAATGCAGTTAAAGTTTCTTAAATGATAAATCTCTCCTCGTTGCGTGCTATACTTGTGAAACGTATATACACGTATTCTACACAGAGTTGGATCAATATAAATTAAATGATTTATATATTAAGTATTTAATTATTGATTAATATAAACTAAATCTGTAAGTAGAAAAATTACTTTTTTTAAGAAAAAAAGATTAAGTTAACATTTTTTTTAAATAGTTTTGATTACTTTAACAAAAGAAACTAACCCTTAGAAACGCCATATTAATTTGATTATACTATACAGTCTCACTAGCATTCTAACAATCTAATATCTATATTTTCATTAAAGATCAATTGTTATTAACAAACTATATTTGGAAGTTTAAATTCCAAACATTAAAAGTAGGTGGTAAAGATCTTAACTACTAAATTGCATTGTTGATTGTAAAAAACTAAAGATTGCATGTAAGGGGAAAGTTTTTACCCTAATCTCAAAGGGAAAAGAAATATGCATCTTTGCTAACAACCGCATCTGAATGAAGGTTTTGTCAGTAGTCAAACTTCATATCAATGAACAGAACCATGACAAGGTTTATCTATCAATGTATATGCACCTAGAGAGAGAGATGGAGAGAGAAGGTTATAATTTCTTTCTCACCTTGAATTTGGTCGACAGTGGAAGGCACAGTAACGGCGTAAGTGAGCTGTGGCTGCTGCACCACCTTCATCTTCTCTTGATTATCTTTCTTGGAAGCTCCATGGTTCATTATCTCACTAAGCAAGAGACTCGTACAAGGTCCAACAGGCGCAGTTGGTTGTTCATCAACCACATTCGTTGCTAATAGCTCAGAGTAACCAAACCCTTGTGTCGTAAAACTTCCTCCTGATCCGGCCGGTGGGAAGAAAAAGGGCTCAGTCAAGAGCTCAGTATGGGGCTGAAAATAGGTTTGCTGCTGGGTTCCAGTTGAAGAATTATTATGAGAAAGATCAACAAAGTTAGGGGTGTTTAAAGATAGTGCACTACTGTTACTACTACTACTGGTACTAGTAGTAGTAATCTTCTTGTTGATATTCCCTTTCGGGGAAGATTTGTGGGAGGAAGAAGGTGAAGTTTGGGAGGTTTGTTTTGAGTTATGAAGGTGGCGAAGCTTGTGTTTACTTCTTGATTTCCTGTTTTGGAACCAGTAAAAAACATTGGCATCTCCAACTTGACCATATTCTTGTAGCTGAGCTCTGATTTTTCTTATCTCGTCCCTTGGTGGGTTAACCATGCCAGAGTTGAAGATTGCTTCTAGTATCCGAATTTGCTCAGGCTTTGGGTTCCATCTTGGCTTCGGTTCTGGGCTCCGCTCATCACATCCACCAACTGTACATTTTTACAAGAAAATATAGTCATTTCTATATTGGATAAATTGCATATATACATGTGTATATATCCACAATTGACAAGGAATTAATGTGAATGATGACAAACAAGTGATGATCAATGATGAAAATCAGGTTTTTGTTGAAATTAGGGGCATACGTATATAGCAAAAACATGGATTTAATTGTGAAAATATACTATGATTTTGTCATCTTAATCTTTGATAGGGATCAACCATGGAGATAATATATTCTGTTGTTGTATATGTATATATATACCTGATGATGTGTAGGGAGGTCCATGGCAACCGGTAGAGATGAGAGAAGATGGATTTATGTCATGCTGCCATTGATGGTGGGTGTTGCAGGGCTTGGACTTGAACATGCTAGGCCAGTGTCTGTTTGAAGAAGCCATGGATGATGATGATGATAATTAGAAGGGTCAAACCAAGAAGACAAGTTTTTTTTCTCTCAAGTTTTTGGTACTGGATCCTCAAACCAAACACCACATATCTCTTCTTATAGCCTCTCACCTACCCCTGTGTTCAGTTTATATATACCAATTAATAAACAGTGAATTCCCATCTCCCAAAGAAAAAAATACATATAAACTTTAAGAAACGAAAAGGTGAAAAAAAAAACATCGAGTGATAAAAACTGAGTGGTGTAATATTATTCATATATATAGACAAATAATTAAAATCCCTCAACAGGAATCGCCTGTAAAAAAGATAAACAAGAAAGGAAATAATAAATAAAAAAGAAGCAAGAGTAGAAGTACTCCACCCCATCCCACCCTTACAGTTTTTGGCATTAAAGCTGAATATTTGCTTATGAGTAGAAGCCAATTCCTCAGGACTTGAAGCAAAGAGAACAAGGAAAAGAATACATGCTTGTGCTTAATTTAGAATCTTTTTTCAGTGTTGACAGAGATCAGAAGCCCCTTATTAATGCTGAAGAAGCTGGTAGCTAGTAACTCCAAACTATGAAAAGGGTTATACAGATTTATATTTATATATATGTATGAATATTAATATACGGGTTTAGAGAAATGGGTTGGTCTGATGAGTTTGTCTCTTGCTATTTTTGATATGTATTTTGCAGTGTTTGTAAGGGAGAGGATTCTCTTGGTCACCTTTGGTTTTGGTTGCTTGACTGCAGAGCATATTAATGGAGGAGGAGATTAATATTCTAATGGGGAAAGGTTGTTGCAGGATATAAATGGGGGAGGTGGTGGTGTGCGGTGTGTTTCAAAGTCAAGAGAGAAAGAGGATAGCGCATGGCATGTAGGGTTTGATTGGAAAGCGGTGGTGGGAGAGTAATTGCATGATCTTGTGGTTATTTTAGGCCAAGTAAATGAGAGTTTTGGATTGACTCGAGGGATTTTAATTAATTAATTTATTTATTTTATAGTTTATTTACATTATAAATATATTATATTATTTATTAGAATATGTAGAAATTTTTTTTCCTGAAATCATTTACATGCCCTAGCAATTGCAGTTAGATGGTTAATTTTCTCCAATTCGGCTGAATTACTTGCTACTTCACAAAATCTAGATATTTGGTTTTAAATGCCCTATATACATATATGTGTATATATATGTATATATTACGAATTTAATATTTAGTACTACAATCTCTTCCTTACCAACTTTCTTTCTAATGTCTGTTTAGTTTTATCATATTTACTTTTTAACTCTATATTGTGTTAGTTTTGAGTTGTAACAAGTAGTAATTTTAATTTAATTTTAAGTTTTCGTATTTTATTTCTTTATTTTTTAAATAAAATAGTTTATTAATTCATATAACTTTATACTAATCTATTTATTATTTAATTACCTAATATTTTCTTAGATTAGAAATTGTCTCTTTAAAACATAAAAATTAATTGTAGAGAAGATGTAAGCACATCTTGCTGGATGGAAAAAAGATTTATATTTAGTGTTGGCATTGTAAGAAACTTTTATGTAGAAGTTTATTTTTTTATTAAATTCAATACATCTTAAAAAAATAAAGACATTATAAAGTTAGATGAATATACCGTTCTGATATGATGCAGTCAAAGCGTGATTGAGAAATTCATTGGAGATAACCTTAATTTTTTGACTCACTTCTTTCTATCTAACTATTATACACAAGACTTTATAATTTTACTTGATGGAAAATCCTTTAAAAGGGGAATTTGTACTCCTTTTATAGATGATAAGAGAGATAAAGCACATTGAAAGTAATTAAATATGTTGATAACTGTTTTTATTATTACAAACTAATACTCATAAAATACAATAATTTTATAATTTATTTTAAAGTTACCCACTCCATCAATGTGCATTTTCCTTTATAACGATTATTTATTATTTTGAGTGTCATTTAAGCTGGTTTCAACCATTATAAATAGATGAAAAAATAAAATATTAGGTTAGTGGGTCATCCACTTAATTGCTTAAATTAACAGGCATAATCACTATATTGAAGTTAGTGTTTAGTAAAATTTTCACATTCTTCATGTTATTAATATCCATGCACAACTCTGATACTAATAAGTTTGAGTCAATATTTCAGAAATTTTTATGAGTGGGGTTAAAGAGCCTAGAAAGATCATTTAATCAATTGGAAGATGGTATATACAAAACAGGAGAAAAACATATAGGGGATTGGGAGGCTAATGGCTATTAATAAAGAGATTATTGTTCAAGTGGTTCTTGAGATTAAGCATTAAGAATAAAGAGTTTTGGAAAAGGATTATGAAGAAATTATATGATATGACATCTTCACAATTGATTCTGATGAGTGTTCAACAAGTTACCACATAAGGTGTTTGGAAAAAAATTATCTCAACTACAAACTTGACTGTATGAGATAGATCTAGTATTTATTTAGGTACTTCTGTAGCAGTTGAGGATGATTAAAAGACAAGATTTGTGAATGATGTTTATGTATAGGAAATTATATTTAAGGAAGCCTTTCCTAGGATCTCTACCTTGTTAATTAATCAGGATATTAAAGTGAATGATGAAATAGTATAGGAACGGGATAAATGGACTTGAAAAATTAATATAAAGAGGATAACTTTTTATTGGGAAATTAATATACTCAATGAGTTTTTAATGATTCTAGGGATGATAAAAATGAGTAAGCATGAAATGATAGTGTAATATCTAGCTGGGCACCAGCTGAGTATAAAAGAAAAGAAAAAATAAAAAAAAATAATATACATAATTAATTATAAAGGAAAAAAAAAGATGTGAAAGACTTAAGCGGCAAATATATATATATATATATGTATATGTATATATATATATAAGAAAATAACAGGAAAAAAAGGGAGAAAGAAGAAAAAACAAATAAAGAAGAGAGAGGGTCAAACGACATTAGAGTCGAGAGAGTGGAGTGAGGGAGGAGCCTAAACTGCGTGATGAGGAGGAGTGAGCAGCAATCGCGAAGGTGGGACGCGGCGAAAGGGGAGAAGTCGGGGGAAAAAGAGAAAGAAGAAAAGGAAAAAAAAAAAAAGAAGAATAAGAGAAGAAGAAAGGAAAAAAAAAGGGGAAGAGAAGAAGAAGGAGAATAAGACAGAGAAAAATCATGGTCGGGTAGAGAGAGAAGAGGAGAGAGAGAGAGAAGAAAATAAGAAGAAAGGAAAAAGAAAAAAAGAAAGGAAAAAAAGAGGAGTTGCTTGAAAGGAGGAAGAAAAAGAAGAAAAAAAAAGAAGAGGAGTTGCGAGAAAGGAGGAAGAAAAAGAAGAAAAAAAAAAGAAGCTAGGGGAGAGAAAGAAGAAAAAGGAAGGAAAAAGGAAAAAGAAAAAGAAAAGAAAAGAAAAGAAAAGGAAAAAAAAGAGCAAAAGAGAAAAAAAAAGAAATCAAAAAAATGGAATGAAAGAAAAGAAAAAAATAATAATAAAGTTAATTAAGGAAGAAAAATGAAATGGTGACGACCAAATATGATGTTGGTGCACCGCATATGACAACACGAACTGATTCGATCATCAGCACCTGGCATTTTCAGTGACACGCAAATGATGACGCGTGGTGGCATTAGTGACCGGAACTGTGTGTCCGAAGGTAAAATCCATTCATAATTTCGCGTAATATAGTTTTTAAAATTATTCATAGTTTAATTTATGTTTTCTATTATAAATGAAGAAAATTATTCAAACGGTATTCGAATTTCCAAGAGAATTGTAGAATGAGTTAGAAAGGATTTCCAAAGCTTTCATGATCACACCGTAGGTAAGAATTATGTGTATTCTGTATGGAGATATAAATTATATATTTATGTAAATATGTATATCTGTAGGGCATTATGTATGAATGTTTAAACATATGTGTAATGTACTATATGTAATTAATATGTCTAATTTTTATTTATTTGTGTTTATGTAGTGTATATATATGTTGTTATGCATATGTGTATATATATAACAATATATGATGAATGTGATATGAATTAACAAGAACAGAATTGATAAGAACAGAGCTAATAAGAACAAATGCGTGAATACATATATATTTAGTATGTTATGTGTGATTGTGTATACGTGTTTAACTATGAACGTGTGTGTGTATATCAGTAGAGATTGTGTGTATGTGAATATAAATATATATCATATTTGAGACATGTAGTGAAAATACATGTCTTATTGTAATATGTGTGTGTATTAAAATGTGTGTACATATGTTATACATGTGAACTGTATAACCCATGTCTGTATGTAGAGAATTTAGGTACACTGCATTTGTTGTCTAATCTAATGTAGATGTAAGATGCACTGTACTTATTGTATGATCTGGTATAGTTGCGCGAAGAATTTGAGTATCATGTGCTTGTTGTGTGATCTGATACAAGATGATTCAGAAAGTGATTTGAAATGTATAGCTCTGATATGCATGATGATATTATGTATTTTATGTGTGTGTTTGTGTTTAATTATGCATAAAAATTAAGATCTTAGGTAGCAAATAAGTGAATTAAAAATGAGAGAGATTTGGAAAGAGTGTAGAGTAAAAGAACCCTGGATACCTACTCGTTTAGTCTAAATCGAGGCAGGGAGGATACGTGTGTAGCTGAAGTTCAGTGGGTATGGTGAACCTGCACATGGATAGAGTATGAAGTCTAGTCCAAACGTGGATAGGTATTTGTGAGTGTGGGTCACTTAGCAAATGTACTTGGTGTGACCTGTTGTGACCATTGTGTGATTTGTGTGTGTGTTATCCATACGATGGGAGGATCCATTTTGTCTTTCCTCGATGATGACATAACCGATATCGCACGATGAAACCATAGAAATAACATTTCGAGTGTTTCTGTGATCATGTGTGTGTGTGTGATTATGTTTTAAGATGATGAAATCTTAGATGTAATATTCTGAGTATATTGTAATATTTTCAATGTAAGTTTGATTTGAAAAAAGAAAAAAAATTTGGTTATAAGAGTGAAGATTAAAAAATGTTTCGTGTAATGAATTCTGTTTTATTTTATATTTTGATTGTGATGGTTTGTTTGACATTTTCTTGAATATAAATATTAATATATTTTATATATTGCGTGAGTGTATGTACGTAAGTCTTCGTTATATAATCATTTTTCTTACTGA